ATTCTTTTTCCTTTTGACTTTAAAAATAAATTTCATTAGAAACCCAGAATGTTTTATTATTGTTTCTTAAAATAATCCTTTTTATTTCTACTCTTTTATTTTTTACTAAATGTATTTTAGATTTCCTTTTTTTTTTGGTTCTTGGCAGGTTAAATGGGATGTACTTAGGCATGTTTTTCTTTGTAGTGTATTTATCGTGCTGGGGTTTAATTGTGCATTTCAAGTCTGCAATGTTATATCTCCCCCCCCCAAAAAAAAAAATTACCTTATTGCCATTCTTTCCTCTCTCTTCTTACACTAATCACACATTTTAGGTCTTTTCACTGTATTAAATATTTCTCTATAATTTTCTCTCTTCATGCTCCATTCTACAGATTTGCTTACCTATCATTATCTTCTGTAAATACAGTCTCTACTCTAGTTTGAAGAAGTCACTAGTTGGAATTTGTACATGTCTTATTTTAATTCCCTACTGGAAGTCAAGGGAGGTGCTGGTTAGGCAGTTGAATATTTGATTCTAGGATTTAAGAAAGAGGGAGAAAATGGGGATAAAATCTGGGAGTATTAGCATAGGAATGGCATTTAAATCTCTGGGACTAGATGAAAATTTCCAGGAAGTAAAGAAAGATAAAGAAAAGATGTCCAGAAGCTGATCCCTGGCATTTCCCGACATTTAGAAATTGGGAATATGAAAAAAATCTAGAAAATTAAGCTAAGAAAAGTGGGAATCAGGAGAGTATTTTACGAAGAAGCTGCCTAGGGAAATTGTTTCAAGAAAGAGGAAGTAATCACCAATGCCAAGTACTGCATTATGTCCCATTGCTTACCACTGCCAGTCCTGGTCTAGAGAGAAAAGCTGCCGCTAATCATGTTAGTTACACCGACACCCTTCTCACCAGCATATTCTTATGGTCTTAATGGTGGGTGTGTCCTCTGAGCCTCTCCTTGGAACATGGTCATCTGATAGGTCTTCCAGCTGTAAATGATAGATTTTCAACGTCCCTGAAACTTTCAATCTATTTCTACACTGTCTGCCAATGTAATTTGTTCAACATAAGTCATCACTTTTTTCATGTATCCATTCAAGTAGAAGATAAACATCATCTCCTAAAATGCTTGTCTGGGTGTGAAAGCCCATGTCGTGGGAAAGTGTTCCCAAGTGAAAATATCTCCTTTTTCAAATTTATTTTCTGGTCCTCTTGACCAAACACCCTCAAAATCTAGTCCTGCACATACTCCCCTGTCTTCTGCTGATACATGCTGGCTAGTTATTTAATTTCCTTTGAGGAGATAGCACCTTTTCCCCTCATCAAGCCCAGGATCTCCCTATTTGAGTTTGCTATGACTTAACTCCAGTTATAGGTTTAGTGGCCAGGGAAGGTGGGGGAATTCTCTAAAGAGAGGGCCTGTTGCCTTAGGAAAGTTTTTTTTATAATTTGGAAGAATACTAGCTCTTAATGATGAAGGACAGGCTATGTCTGAAGGCATAGTTGGTGTTCTGAGCAGTCAATATCTTCAGAGGCATTCACCCAGATGTCTCCATGAATGTGGCATAACAAGCCTGCCTTGTTTGGCTACTTGACTGTTTTAAGTTCAGACACTTATTGAATTCTGATCTTGGTCTTGGTGTCTTCCTACCCCACATAAAATGAAGACGAAAGTTTCATTCTATGTAATCAAAGAGGACTCCTGCCTTTAATACCTGGCTTTCAATTGCATTATTCTTCCTCTACTGTAGTGAAAGTATGGTGCACTGGGTATTGGACACATCTGAATGGAATAGCAGCTATAAGGATAATGAAGTTGGATGGTTGCTGCTAAGCCAGTAATGATCTACACTAGAGGGAGAGTAACGACCAATTGAGTATTTTGGTGATATCTTCTTTGTCTAATATTAAAATATTTATAAAATTTGAGCCCAAGCCTATTTTTTCACTCTTATATTTGAAATTTTCACACAGCAGATGGACTACTTTTGTCTCTCAAAGATGCTGCCCAAATTTAGAGCTATGCATTGCTTCGTAGACACCCCAGTGCCTCTTATTTTTATTGACTCATATCCTTGTGTCATTTTGAGATTCATCATGTCCAAGACACTCTTTCCTAACCCTCTAGTTTCATGATCTCAACTTCCTAGTAACTCATGAGCCAATCAGAGGGTCTTCAGTGCTGCTGCGTACCCAGAGTCACCTTCTGATTGTAATCTTTCTGAAGGATGGCTCTATTTTAGATTCTCAGATCCACACAGTGCTCATCATACACAGCTGGAGGCTGAACACTGGAATTTCAAAGTGTGAGGGAGGGGCGGTCACAAGGGAAGACACAGTTTTGTTTTGTGAAATTACACAGACTCAGAGACCCCAAATTATTTTCTCATTAAATGCTTTAATATCTTCTCTCTAAAACCAATCTCCTGAACTTCTGGTTCCTTGAGGGACTTAGCTCCAATTTACATAAGGCCCTTTAGAAAAATCCTGTTGTAGATTGGGCAGATTGGAGTCAATGAAACCTTTCTTAAAGTGCTGTTGGAAGGCCCAGGTTTCAAGGTAGTATCATTATATTGTTTATCTTCCTAGACACCCGAAGAAGCTGAGAAGAATGACAAGTGAACATTTTCAGGGTAATTCATTTCCATATCAGAAACTTAATTTTATCATTCTCTTTGATGTCATCAGGCAAAGTCCAGGGCTTGTTTCTTCAGATAAGTAAGTTAAGTGATTTCCTAAATTGTCATAGAATATTTAGTATGTGTCATTTGGTTTCAATGACTTAACTTGAATATACAATTTGGTTGAATTTTGCCTTTGTCATATAGATACCAAAATGTGTTGCAAGATTTATGGGCTCATTGAATGGTAGAATTAAGAGACATTGGCTTTTCTGGGTCTTAATTTCTTCAGTTAAATTGGTATTATAATTAGAAAACAAATCTCTTAATCAGCTGATTCGAATTCTCTGCTGCTTATACCCACAGTCACATGCAAACCTAGAATCATGATTTTTCTATATTAGACTCTTTGGATTCAGTAAGGGAAAAATGAAGTCATATGCATTTTGACAGAAACTATTGTTTTCACACAATAGTTTGAGTTGGTTGAGAGCACGTATAGGTGTACTCTAGTTTCATCTCATAATTTTTTCCTAGCTTAAATTTATTGTGACACCCAAAATACTTTGTTTCCATCTTCCTTGAGTCATTATGTATACAAATATAAAGGACATGAAGCGAGTTTCTATGTTTAGAAAATATTAAATTCTTGAAAAATTTTACTATCAAGGTATAGTTTTTCTGACCAATCTCAAATTTTACCCCATTGAGGCTGTTTCTTTCTAAGCTCCATCATCTCTGAGACCACAGGAGATCAGCAAATTTTTATTTCATTAATTTTTTGTTAAACAAAATCCTTTCAAGCTTTCTTAGAAAAGAATGTTGTTAGACTTCTGCTGCACACCCTGCTAATATTTTTGTGTGATTTTTGCTATTGGAATCATTATGATTATTTCAAGGTCCAAAGATGTATGCCTCCCTTACTCAAGTCTCCTTTTTTGTCCTATTTTATCTCTTCCTCTTTTCTCACATCTCATTTTTTTTTCTCAAAAAAATTTTTTTTAAAAATAAATTCACATTCCTAGGTAACTTCAAAGATAGTACAGAGAAGTCCCTTGTACTTTTCACCAAGTTTTTCCCAATGGTTACATCTTCCCAACAATTGTACAACATGAAAAATAGGAAGTTGGCATCAGTATGCTGTGTGTGTACAGATTTATATTATTTTATAATGTGTGTAGATTTTTATTATCACCCCCACATTCAGGATACAAAATTACTCTACTTCCAGAAAGATCTCCCTGTGCTACCCCTTTATAGTCACACCACTACCCTCTTTCCCACTATTTCTAATCCCAAGCAACAGAAAACCTGTTTTCCAATGCTATCATTTTGCCATATATATATAATTAATTTGCCAAAACTATATATAATGGAATTATAGACAATGTAACCTTCCGAGATTGGCTTTCTTTACTTCAGTCTAATGCCTTTGAGACCCATCCAGGTTTTTGTATGTATCATATTTCCTCCTTTTTATTACTGAATAATAAATTCTGTAGCAGGGATACACCATCGTGTGTTTAATCATTCAAACTGTAGGACATTTTGGATATTTTGAGTGGCCATTATAAACAAAGTTTCTATAAACTAAATTGTACAGTTATTGTGCGGACATAAGTTTTTATTTCTCTGAGATAAATGCCCAGGTGTGTTCTTTTTGTCCTTAAAATATTGTTTTTTTCCCCCAGCTCTTGATAACAATTCATTGATTACAACCCCTACTCAATATTGAAGAACTGGTCTCTTCTCTGATGGACTAAATCATTCGATGTTGTTTGATGAGATTAATGGGTTTAATATACACCAGTGATATGAGGAACATAAGCATTTTGGAGAAGGCATCACAGGGAAGATACTATTGAGAATTTTGGTCCTTTTCCAAAGCCGACTTCTTTGTGTTCCATTTTTAGACATCAGAAATTATGTTTTGGACAACACAACTGATCATTTTTCTAGAATCAAAGGAAATGGTGAGGAAGTTATATTGCTAACACCCTTTACTTAGAGTGAGAGTATCAGCCTGAATTATCTAAATTTCACATACTACCGTTTTCGATGAAATGTTTTAAAGATACCCTTGGTTCAAAGGCAGGGATTTTTAGAAATGTAACCTCAGACATTTAGAAAATTTGCTTCAGATAATCTCCAAAGGTCACTTCCAGGTTACAATTTCATAATTCTCTTTCAAAATTCTGTTTTGACCAAGAAGAAAACTAAAGATTCAGTGAGATTCAGTGACTTAGTATCACACAGATAGTAGGAGATAGGACAACCACTAGGGTAGAACGTGAGTGTTATCTGTCAGTCTACCCTACAAAATGCAGAAAAATAGCAGTTACATTCAGATTCTGAGTTGAGAGGCCCTCAATTACAAATTGATTGTGAAGGAATGGATGATGGAAATCAAACTTTGGTGATTGAGTTTTTTTCCATGGGTTTAACGGATCATTTCCAGCACCAGGTTGTTCCCTTTGTGATGTTTCTCTTGGTTTATCTTGCCACTTTTCTGGGAAACTTGGGGATGATCACCCTCATTTGGATAGGTTCCCGACTCCACACCCCCAGGTATTTTTTCTCAGCCACTTGTCCTTTGCGGATGTCCGCTCCTCTTCTGTCCCAAGATGTTGATTGACATCTTTGTGGAGAAAAAAGTAATCTATTTCTTTGGTGCCCAGTTATGTTTTTTTGGTCAGTTTGTAGTGACTGAGTGTTTCCTCTTGGCTTCTATGGCATATGACTGGTACATGGCCATCTGTAAGCCCTTGTTGTACACACTCATTATGTCCCAGCAGGTCTGTGTGCAGCTGGTGGTAGGGCCGTATACCATGGGTCTTATCAGTGCCATAACCCATACGACGTTCGCCTTTTGCCTGCCTTATTGTGGTCCCCAAATCATCAATCACTTATTCTGCAACCTCCTTTCGGTTCTTTCTCTGGAATGTGCAGACAGCCAGCTCAATAACTTTTTTCTTTTCATCTTGGCTGGAGCCCTAGGAGCGCTCAGTGGCGTGACCATCTTGATCTTCTACTCGATCAGCAGAGCAGATCCTCAGGATGGCAACAATGATGTAAATATATCGTTGTCGCCATCCTGAGGATCCGTCTGCTGCTGGAAGGCACAGAGCCTCTCCACCTGCTCTCCTCACCTGACAGCCGTCTCCATCCTTTATGGGGTGCTCTGCTTCATCTATGTGCATCCGACTTCTGGTTTCTCCCTGGACATCAATAAAGTGATATCTGTGTTTTATACAGCTGTGATTCCCATGTTAAACCCACTTAACTGCAGCCTGAGGAACAAGGAAGTCAAGGATTCATTCAGAAGGACATTTGGAAGGAAAAAGTTCCTGATGAGCAGGTAAACTAGAATAGCATGTTTACCAGACCGACAGCTAATCTACATGCAAGATACAAGAACATGGGCTGGGTGATGGGAGTTCGAGGTTTATGTTGAGAATCACTCCGTATTGCTCTGTCACTGGCAAGTCACACCATGTCTTTAAGTTACAATTTTTTTTCAGTTTGATTTTTCTCATTTCTTATCCAGCAGGAATGAGTTAGAGAGCATTGAACTGATATGGATGGATTATTAAACTTCAAAACTTCAAAAATATTCTCAAGTTTGTGGCTGGGAAAAGGAGAGTTTCTTTTTTAAATCCTACATGCTATAAGTCATAACCAGTGACTTCACAATACTTCTGTTTTGCTTGACAAGGTGCTGAGATCCATTAACTGTCTGTACATTTGACCTTGACTTTTAAACATAAATGTAAAAAATGCATTATAGTCCAAAGATAAAAACTTCCAGTCCCATGACCAATATGTTCTGGGGATCTAATGTACAGCATAGTGACGATATTTAATAATACTGTTTTGTATATTTGTAAGTTGCTAAAAGACTAGATAATAAAAAATTTTCTTCACAAGAAAAAAAAAACTGTAGGAGGTGACATGTTAACTACACTTATTTTTGTAATAATTTCACAATATGTACATTTATAAAGTCATTATGATGTATGCCATGCACTAATACAATGTTACATGTCAATTATATGTCAATAATAATAGAAAATAGTGAATTATTCAGGAAGTATGTAATAATAGCACTCTCTAATATACCTCTGTGTTTAAAGTAGTCATTTTAGCTTTCCGATCAGCCATCTGCGGTGGCATCATCGCCAAGATGCAGATTTTCGTGAAAACCCTCATGGGGAAGACCATCACTCTGGAGGTTGAACCCTCGGATACAATAGAAAATGTAACGGCCAAGATCCAGGATAAGCAAGGAATTCGTCCTGACCAGCAAAGACCGATCTTTGTTGGCAAGCAACTGGAAGATGGACATACTTTGACGACAACATTCAAAAGGAGTCTGCTCTTCATCTTGTGTTGAGACTTTGTGGTGGTGCTAAGAAAAGGAAGAAGTCTTATACCACTCTCAAGAAGAGTAAGCATAAGAGAAAGAAGGTTAAGCTGGCTGTCCTGAAATACTACAAAGTGGACGAGTATGGCAAAATCAGTTGCCTTCGGGAGTGCCCTTCAGATGAATGTGGTGCTAGAGTTTTTATGGCAGCCACTTTGACAGACATTATTGTGGCAAATGTTGTCTGACCTATTGCTTCAACACACCAGAAGACAAGTAATTTGTATATGGGTTAATAAAAGACATGAGTTAACAACAACAAAAAAATAAATAAAAAAATAAAGTAGTCATTTTACAGAAGCCTTTACATTCGCTATATTCTCTGCTCATAGTAATAACTCATTGGGCTTTTGCCACTGCAATTACATGATTTATGCATGTTAAGTGCAGAATGCATTATAGTTCTTTAATAAAGTGTTAGTAATTGCGATTGTTATTTATTAATTTTTGTGTCATAGGTAGGGCATTAATATCTTTTTCATAGATGATGAACCTGGCAGCCATGTCTATGATATCATAATTTGTCTCACAGTTTTATTTCTCCAGGTTCAATATTCTTTCAACCATACTTGTGTGTGTGTGTGTGTGCGTGTGTGTGTGTGTGTTTTATTTTCTGGAACATAACAAATCTAAGAAGTGAAGGTATAGGCTATAGTTTTGTAGAATCATAATACTTGCTGAGATCCACACTCTATCTTAACTTTGAAGCTCTTCTTTAAAGGACATTTAATTTTAGTTCATTGATTTTGAAGGATGTAAATAGTCTCTAGTATTCTGAATTTTTTTGGATATGTTTTACTTGTTTTCACCATACTTTCTGTTAGTTTTGGTGTCTGTGTTGGGTAATGACTTAGATCAAGATGCTACTCATTAAATTTTAAGGCTGATATTGTTTCTTCAACTATGTGTTCATAAAGATTCCTTCAAAATGACCTTATATCCCGAATTCTTAAAAATTTAGTTTTGCCCTGGCCAGTGTGGCTCAGTTTGTTGGAGTGTTGTCCCACACCAAAAGGTTGCAGGTTGAATCCCCAGTCAGAGCACATACCCAAGTTGCAGGCTTGATCCCCAGTAAGGGTGCATACGGGGTCAACCAATCAATGCAATCAATGTTTCTCTCTCTCATCAATGTTTTTTTTCCCCCCTCTCTCTCCTTCTCCTGTTTTCTCTATTAAAAAAATAAAAATAAAAACCTGTCCTTGGGATAGGATTAAAGAAGTATTCTTGCTTTATAGAAATAATTAGTTTCATTTTAGAACACGAGGGCCAGAATATGTTTTACACTTTGTGCTTTCAGTAACTATGACATACACACTTTCACATTCTTCATGAAACATCCTTTTTCTCCTTATTTTACTCTTTAGCCATCACCCGTTAACATGGTCTCAGCAAATATAAAATGTGTTTAAATAAAGGGTAAGCAGCACTCCTAGTGAAAAAACACTGTAACAGTTCTTCCTTAAAATGTTTTTAAACTCTGCCACTAGATAGCAGCATCAGCTTCTCAATCACAATGGATGTTTCCCTTAACAATTGAAAACATTATCAAGATAGTAGGCTTGAAATATAGCTTTCTAAAGTCTAATTATTAATTTTTGAGAGTTGTGAAGTCATACACAAATTTTGTGTGTTTGGGCCACACATTTATGTATAATTTTATTCTACAGGAGAGGATTGAATCTTTCATCAGATTTTTAAAGTGCATGACACATAAAAATTTAATGTTTCTGATACACTCTAACATTCTTACCTTTCAGATTATGAAACTAAAGTATAAAGGGGGAGGAATGATTTTCCCATGATATGTCACAGAATTATTTATTATTGCACACCTGTTCTAGAAACACATAGTTCAGAGATTATTACTCCATCCAATATTCTTATAACTCCTTCCATTATCATAGTGATAATAAATGAAAAGGCTTTCTAAACATGAGGTGTAACTGTTTTTTTTAGTCTGTTCTTTGCTACTTTAAAAATAAATTAAATTATGTAATTTAAAATTATTATTATTTCTATTTTTAAATATTGAATTTAGGTTAAACCATGCCAAACACTCAGAGGCCTGGTTCTCCCCATGCATCAGTGCTCTGTTGCAGAATTCAGAGAGAGCTGAGTGTCCTTTCCACTCATCCTAGAAGGGATTACAGAATTAAATTGAATGCTCATTTTGAACAGCTAGCTTCACAAAACCTCACACTAATTTATTTCTTTCCTCTCTTCTTAAGATGTTGCTGCTCTTGTCTTCCATGGATTCTCTTCCCATTATCTCATCACCATGCCCCACCATGAGTCCACTCCTTGGCATAACCTTCCACCACTCTTCCCATTTTCCTAGAAATATTACTGACTAAATTTTTGATGCTTTACTTACTTCCCCATGACTCTTTTGAAATAAGCAATTTGTGCTTCTTAGTCCCTTCACCTCTTTCATCCAGTGACCCAACCCCTTCTATACTCTGGCAATCAGCAGTTCTTTTTCTGCATCTATGAGTGTGTTTCAGTTTTGTTTGTTTATTTTGTTTTTAGATTCCACATATACATGGAATCATATGGTATTTGTCTTTCTATGACTTTTTTTATGTAGCATAATACCCTCTAAGTCCATTCATGCTGTCACAAATGGTAATATTTCATTCTTTTTTTTATAGCCAAGTAATATTCCATTGTACATATATATACCACAGCTGTTTTATCCACTTGTCTATTGATGGGCACTGGGGTTGCTTCCACAGCTTAGTTACTGTAAATAATGCTCCAATGAACATAGAGGTTCATATATTCTTTTCAATTATTGTTTTGGGTTTCCTTGGATAAATCCCCAGAAGTGGAATTACTGGGTCGTAAGGCAAGTCCATTTTTAACCTTTTGAGGAAACTCCATACTGTTTTGCATAGTGGCTACACCAATCTGCACTCCCATCAACAGTGCATGAAGGTTCCCTTTTCTCCACATCCTCACCAAGACTAGTCATTTATGGATTTATTTATTTTAAAAAATTTTTATTTATTAATTTGTTTTTGTTACAGATGCTTCTCATTTTCCCCCCATTGACACCCTCCTCCCCTTCCCCTTCACCCCATCCCCAGCTTTGTTGTCTATGTTCATTAATCGTGCATTCATTCATGTAAGTTCTGTGGTTTATCTCTTCCCCCACAAATACCCTCCTCCTCTGAGGCTTGTCAGTCTGAACCCCACCTCCATGTCTCTGGGTTAATTTTGTTCAGCAGTTTGCTTAGTTCATTACATTCCACAAATAAGTGAGATCATGTGATATTTGTCTTTCTCTGCTTGGCTTGTTTCGCTTAGCATAATACTCTCCAGGTCCTTCCATGCCATTTCAAAGGATAAGAGATCTTTCTTTCTTACAGCTGCATAGCATTCCATTGTGTACATGTACCACAACTTTTTAATCCACTCATCTACTGATGGACACTTGGGTTGTTTCCAGGTCTTAGCTATTATAAATAGTGCTGCTATGAACATAAGGGTACATATATTCTTCTGTTTGGAGTTTCAGGTTTCTTAGGGTATATTCCTAGAAATGAGATCACTGGGTAAAATGGCAGTTCAATTCTTAACTTTTTGAGGTAACACTATAATGTTTTCCACAGTGGCTGCACCAGTCTGCATTCCCACCAGCAGTGTACTAGAGTCCCCTTTCTCCACACCCCTGCCAACACTTGTTGTTTGATGATTTGTTGATGGCGGCCATTCTGACAAGTGTGAGGTGATACCTCATTGTTGTTTTAATTTGCATCTCTCTGATGATTAGTGATGTTGAGCATTTCTTCATATGTCTCTTGGCCATTTGTATGTCCTTTTTGGAGAGTTGTCTATTTAGGTCCTCTGCCCATTTTTTAATTGAGTTTTTTTTGTCTTCTTTTTGCCCATTGAGTATGATGTTGGCTGTAGGTTTTTCATATATGGCCTTTATTA